GAATGATCCCAAAAAAACCCAAATTCCCAAAACCCCCCCGGGATCCCCCCCCCCCCCCCCCCCCCATTCCCTTTCCCGCCGCTCCGGCCGGAATTCCAGAATTTTCCTAGGATTTCCAGGATTTCCCGGGAATTTCCGGGAATTTCCAGGATTTTCCCAGGATTTCCCAAGGATTAACTGGGATTTTCCAGGATTTCCCTGGAATTTCTGGGATTTCCAGGATTTCCCTGGAATTTCCAGGATTTTATGGGGATATCAAGATTTTTTCCGGGAATTCCTGGTTTTCCAGGATATTCCCAGTATTTTCCAGGATTTTCCTGGAATTTCCCAGTATTTCCTGGGATTTTCCTGGGATTTTTCCAGGGTTTTTGTGGGATTTTCCCGGGATTTTTCCTGGGATTTTCCCGGGACTTTTCCGGGATTTTTCTGGGATTTTCCCGGGATTTTGCCAGGATTTTTCTGGGAATTTTCTGGGATTTTCCCAGGATTTTCCCAGGATTTTTCTGGGATTTTCCCGGGATTTCCCGGGATTTTCCGGGATGTTTCCGGGATTTTCCCAGGATTTTTCCGGGATGTTTCTGGGGTTTTTCCGGGATTTTCCCGGGATTTTTCCAGGATTTCCTGGGATTTTTCCGGGATGTTTCCAGGGTTTTTCCAGGATTTCCCGGGATTTCCCGGGATGTTTCTGGGATTTTTCTGGGATTTTTCCGGGATGTTCCCGGGATGTTTCCGGGATGTTTCCGGGATTTTCCCTGGATTTCCCAGGATTTTCCTGGGATTTTCCCGGGATTTTCCCGGGATTTTTCCCAGGATTTTTCTGGGATTTTCCCGGGATTTTCCCGGGATTTTCCCAGGATTTTTCTGGGATTTTTCTGGGATTTTTCTGGGATTTTTCTGGGATGTTTCCGGGATGTTTCCGGGATTTTCCCGGGATTTTCCTGGGATGTTTCCGGGATGTTTCCGGGATTTTCCCGGGGTTTCCCGGGATGTTCCTGGGTTTTTCCGGGATTTTCCCGGGATTTTCCGGGATGTTCCCGGGATTTTCCCGGGATGTTCCCGGGGTTTGCTCACCTGGCGCAGCTCCCGGAGGTCGCGGGGCTGGAAGAAGAGCTCGGGGCTGCACCCATGGGTGCCGGCCCAGTTCCGGAACCGGAACCCGGAGCGGCCCCGGAGCTGCCCGGGAAATCCGGGATCGGCCTGCGAGAAATCTGGGATCAGCCCGGGAAACCCGGGATCAGCCCGGGAAACCCGGGATCAGCCCGGGAAATCCGGGATCAGCCCAGGAAATCTGGGATCAGCCCGGGGGATCCGGGATCAGCCCGGGAAATCCGGGATCAGCCTGTGGGAAATCTGGGATCAGCCCGGGAAATCCGGGATCGGCCTGCGGGAAACCCGGGATCAGCCCGGGAAATCCGGGATCGTCCTGGGAAACCCGGGATCAGCCCGGGAAATCCGGGATTAGCCCGGGAAACCCGGGATCAGCCCGGGAAACCCGGGATCGGCCCGGGAAATCTGGGATCAGCCCGGGGGATCCGGGATCAGCCCAAATCTCAAACCCCAAAAATTCCCAAATCCCCCGAAATTCCAAATTTCCCCAAAAAAATCCCCAATTCCAAAAACTCCAATTCCCCAAATTCCCAAATCCCAAATTTCCCTGGAAAAATATCCCCCAAACCCCCAAAATTCAGGATTTTTCCACCTTTTCCCAGGGATTTTCCCTTTTGAGATTCCCAAAAATTCCCCAAAATTCCCAAATTCCTGAATTCCCCCCAAACCACAAAATCTCCCCAGAAATGGGAAAAATCCCCCCCAAAAAAACTGGGAAAAAAAACCCCCAAAATTTGGATTTTTTTTACCGTTTCCCAGGAATTTTCCCTTTTGGGATTCCCAAATTCCCAAAATCCCAAATTCCCCAAAATCCCGAACCCCCAAAATTCCCAAAATTCCCAAAAAAACGGGAAAAAATTCCCAAAAAATCGCCAAACCCCCAAAATTCAGGGAATTTTCCACCTTTTCCCAGGAATTTTCATTTTGAGATTCCCCAAAATTCCCAAAAATCCAAAACTGCCAAAATTCCCCAAACCCAAAAAATCCCCCCCAAAAAACCAGAAAAAAATCCCCAAAATTCAGAATTTTTTAACATTTTCCCGGGAATTTTCCCTTTTGGGATTCCCAAATTCCCAAATTCCAACATCCCAAAAATCCCAAACCCCCAAAATTCCCCAAAATCCCCAAAATCTCCCAAAAGCCCTGGGAAAATTCCCAAAAAACCCCAAAAATTGGGAATTTTTGACCTTTGGAGCGGCCGAGAGCCGCGGGCTGGGGGCGGGGTTGGATTTTCCGGGAATTTCCCCAAAATTCCCAAAAATCCCGAATTCCCAACTCCCAAAATTCCCAAAAATACCCGAATCCCAAAAGTCCCAAACCCCCAAATCCCTAAACCCCAAAAATCCCCAAAAAAGAGGGAAAAAAATCCTAAAAAATTGGGGAAAAATAAATCCCCAAAAAATCCAAAAATTCGGGAATTTTCAAACTTTTCCTGGGAATTTTCCCTTTTGGGATTCCCAAAAATTCCAAAATTCCCAAAACCCCAAATCCCTAAAACCCAAAAATCCCAAAAAAGAGGGAAAAAAATCCTAAAAAATTGGGGAAAAAAATCCCCAAAAATCCCAAAATTCGGGAATTTTCAAACTTTTCCTGGGAATTTTCCCTTTTGGGATTCCCAAAAATCCCAAAATTCCCAAAACCCCAAATCCCTAAAACCCAAAAATCCCAAAAAAGAGGGAAAAATAATCCTAAAAAATTGGGGAAAAAAATCCCCAAAAATCCCAAAATTCGGGAATTTTCAAACTTTTCCTGGGAATTTTCCCTTTTGGGATTCCCAAAAATCCCAAAATTCCCAAAACCCCAAATCCCTAAAACCCAAAAATCCCAAAAAAGAGGGAAAAATATTCCTAAAAAATTGGAAAAAAAAATCCCCAAAATTCGGATTTTTTTTTACCCTTTCCCGGGAATTTTCCCTTTTGGGATTCCCAAATTCCCGAATCCCAAAATTCCCCAAAATCCCGAACCCCCAAAATTCCCAAAAAATCCCCAAAATCTCCCAAAATCCCTGGGAAAATTCCCAAAAAACCCCAAAAATTGGGAATTTTTGACCTTTGGAGCGGCCGAGAGCCGCGGGCTGGGGGCGGGGTTGGATTTTCCCAAAATTTCCCGAAATTCCCAAAAAAATTCGGGAGAAGCCGCGCGGGAATTTCCTCACCATGCCGGAGCCGCTTCCCGCCGCGCCTTTTTGGGGATTTTGGGGATTTTGGGGAATTTTGGGGAATTTTGGGGAATTTTGGGGATTTTTGGGCTCGGAGCTCGCGGCGGCCGCGGAATTCCCGGAAACCAAAAAAACCGGGACGAGATTTTGGGTTTTTTTGGGAATTTCGCAATTCCAGCGGCGACTGGAAAAGCTGGAGCGGAGCCGGGAATGGGAAAATGGGGAAAAATGGGGAAAAATCCCAAATTTTGGGGGGTTTTTGGGTGGGGATTGATGGGAAATGGGGAAAATTCCCGGGAAATTGGGGAAAAATGGGAAAATTTGGGGAAAAATGGGAAAAATTGGGAAAAAAAATGGGGAAAAATTGGGAAAAAAATTGGGGAAAAATTGGGGGGAAATGGGAAAAAAATTGGGGAAAAAAATTGGGGAAAAATTGGGGAAAAAATTGGGAAGAAATGGGAAAAATTGGAGAAAATTGGGAAAGAATTCCAGAGATGTTGGGGGTTCTGGGTGGGAAAATTGGGAAAAAATGGAGAAATTTGGGGAAATTGGTAAAAAATCCAAAGATTTTGGGGATTCTGGGTGGAAAAATTGGGGAAAAAATGGGAAAAAAAATGGGGAAAATTTTGGAAAATCTGGAAAAAAATTCCGAATATTTTGGGGGTTCTGGGAGGGAATTCGTGGAAAATTTGGGGGGAAATGGGGGAAAAAAGGAAAAAAATCCCAAATTTTGGGGATTTTTTGGGATGAGGATTGCTGGGAAATGGGGAAAAAATCCGGAAATTTGGGGGGAAATTGGGAAAAAATGGGGAAAAAATTGGAAAATTGGGGAAGAATTCCCGAGATTTTGGGGGTTCTGGGTGGGAAAATTGGGAAAAAATGGGAAAAAAATCGGGAAAATTGGGAATTTTTGGGGGGGAAAATTGGGAAAATTTGGAGAATTGGGAAAAATTCCAGAGATTTTGGGGATTCTGGGTGGGAATTCCTGGAAAATTGGGGAAAAATTAGAGAAAAATAGAAAAAAATGGGAAAAGTGGGAAAGAATTCCAAACAATTTGGGGGTTCTGGGAGGGAATTCCTGGAAAATTTGGGGGAAAACGGGAAAAAATTCCCCAAATTTGGGGGTTTTTGGTGGGGATTGCTGGGAAATGGGGAAAAATTGGGGAAATTTGGGAAAAGTGGGAGAAAATTGGGGAAAATCTGGGAAAATTGTGAAAAATTCCGGAGATTTTGGGGGTTTTGGGGTTGGAAAATTTTGGGGGATTTTTTGGAATTTTTTCGGCGGATTTTGGGAGAAAATTTTGGGAATTCTTTGGGATTTTTTTGGGAATTTCTGTGGAATTCTTTGGGAAAACTTGGCAATTTTTGGGAAATCTTTGGGAATCTTTCGAGATATTTTTGGGATTTATTGGGATTTTTTGGGGAATTTTTTGGGATTTTTTCGTGAATTTTTGGGGCATTTTTGGGAATTCTTTGGGAATTTTTGGGGCATTTTTTGGGATATTTTGGGGGATTTTTGGAATTTTTTTTGGGGGGGGAATTCTTTGGGGAATTCTCTGGGAATTTTTTGGGAATTTTTCAGGAATTTTGGGGGAAGATTGAGGGAATTTTTTTGGAATATTTTGGGGAATTTTGGGGATTTTTCTGGGAATTTTTTTGGGAATTCTATGGGAATTTTTGGGGCATTTTTTGGGAATTTCTTGGCATTTTTTTGGGGAATTTTTGGGGAAGATTTTTTGGATTTTTTGGGAATTCTTTGGGAATTTTTTTGAATTTTTTAGGGGGAATCTTTGAGGAATTCTTGGGGATTTTTTTGGGAAATTTTTGGGAGGGAATTTTTGGGGACTTTGGGGATTTACTGGGAATTTTTGGGATTTTTTTGGGAATTCTGTGGGGATTTTTGGGGATTTGTAAGGGGAATTTTTTGGGATTTTTAGGGGGAATCTTTGGGGAATTCTTTGGGAATTTTGGGGCGATTTTTTTGGGAATTCTTGGGTATTTTTGGGAATTATTTGGGGGAATCTTTAGGAATTTTTGGGAGTTCTTTGGGAATTCTTCTGGAATTTTGGGGTGAGTTTTGGGGATTTTTTGGGAATTTTTTGGAGAATTTTGGGGGATTTTTTGGGAATTTTTTGCAGAATTTTTGGGGAAGGGTTTTTTTTTTTTTTGGGATTTTTTGTGGGACTTTTTGGGAATTATTGGGGAAGTCTTTAGGGATTTTTGGGAGTTCTTTGGGAATTTTTGGGGATTTTTGGGGGAATTTTTTTGGGAATTTTTTGGGGAATTCTTTGGGAATTTTTGGGGATTTTTTTTTATTTTTGGGGAATTTTTTGGGGAATTCTTTGGGATTTTTTGGGAATTTTGGGGGGAAGTCTTTTCAGATTTTTGGGAATTTTGGGGGGACTTTTGGGAATTTTTTGGCCTCGGGGTCGGGGCGGCTTCCAAAGGATTCCGAGGAGACGAAAATTGCTGGAAAAATCCCAAATTTTATTTCTCATCTTTGACAGCGGCAGCAGAATCAGGAAAATCGTTAATTAGTGATTAATTATTAATTATTGATTATCGATTATTGATTGAGATTAATGAGTTAATGAGCAGTTATTGGTTATTGATGAATCCACGGAAATTTCCTGGATTTGCCGGGAAAAATTCCCACCAAAAAATCGGAATTCCAGGGAAAAATTCCTGCAGAAAACTTGGAATTCTCAGGAAAAATTCCCACAAAAAATTGGAATTCCAGGAAAAATCAGGGAAAAAAAACCTTGGAATTCCCAGGGAAAAAAAAAAAAAAAAGAAAAATTCCTGCAAAAAACCTGGAATTCCCAGGAAAAAATCTGCAAAAAATTTGAAATTCCCGGGAAAAATTCCTGGAAAAATTCTGAATAAAAGCTCGGAATACCTGGGAAAAAAATGCTGCAAAAAATTTGAAAATCTTGGGAAAAATTCCTGGAAAAATTCCCAATAAAAGTTTGGAGTTTTCCCTGGAAAAATTCCGCAAAAAATTTGAAATTCCTTGGATAAATTCTTGGGAAAATTCCCATTAAAAAATTTGAAATTCCCGGGAAAAATTCCCATTAAAAATTTGAACTTCCTGGGAAAAATTCCTGGAAAAATTCCCAATAAAAGCTCGGAATTCCTGGGAACAATTCTGCAAAAAATTTGAAATTCCAAGGGGAAAATTCCCATTAAAAATTTGAAATTCCTGGGGAAAATTCCCGGAAAAATTCCATATAAACCTCGGAATTCCCGGGGAAAAACTCCTGCAAAAATTCCCGGAAAATTCCCGAAAGTTTGGGAGTTGTGCTCAGAGTTTGGAATTTGGGGAATTTGGGGGCAGCGGCTCCGGGGGCAGCTCCCGCAGCCACTCCAGGAGGATCCGGTTCAGCTCCGCCGGCCTGCGGGAAATTCCCAAATATTCCCAAAATATCCCCAAAATAGCCCCGAAATAGCCCCAGAATATTCCCCAAAATATTCCCAAAATATTCCCAAAATAGCCCCAAAATATTCCCAAAATAGCCCCAAAATATTCCCCAAAATATCCTCAAAATATTCCCAAAATAGCCCCAAAATATTCCCCAAAATATCCCAAAAATATTCCTGAAATATTCTCAAAATATTCCACTAAAATTACCAAAATATTCCCAAAATATTCCCAAATATTCCCCAAATAATCCCAAATTATGCCCAAAATAGCCCCGAAATATTCCCAAAATAGCCCCAAAATATCCCCAAAATATTCCCCAAAATATTCCACTAAAATTGCCAAAATATTCCCGAAATATCCCCAAAATTAAAAAAAATTCCCAAAAATCTCAAAAATATTCCCAAATATTCCCAAAAATTCCCAAAATATTCCCCAAATTCCCAAAATTCCCAAAATATTCCCCAAACATCCCCAAAATATTCCCAAAGTTCCCCATCGGATTTCTGGGATTCGGGAATTCCAGGATTTGGGATTTGGGAATTTCGGGATCGAGAATTCCCAGGAATTTTTGGGATTTGGGAATTTTTGCGATGGGGAATTCCGGGATTTGACAATTCCGGGATTTGGGAATTTTTGGGATTTGGGAATTCCGGGATGGAGAATTCCGGGATTTGGGAATTCCAGGATTCGGGTATTTTGGAATTGGGGGATTTTTGGGATTGGGGATTCCTGGATTTGGGAATTTTGGGATTTGGGAATTCCGGAATTGGGGAATTTTTGGGATTCAGGAATTCCAGGATTTGGGAAATCCAGGTTTTGGAAATTCCGGGATTTGGGAATTTTGGGATTGGGGAATTTTTGGGATTTGGGAATTCTGGGATTTCGGAATTCCGGGTTTTGGGAATTCTGGGATTGGGGAATTCCGGGATTTGGGAATTCCAGGATTTGGGAATTTTGTGATTGGGGGATTTTTGGGATAGGGGGATTTTTGGGATTGGGGATTTCGGGATTTGGGAATTTTGGGATTTCGGAATTCCGGGATTTGGGAATTTAGGGATTTCAGAGTTCTGGGACTGGGGAATTCCGGGATTGGGGAATTCCGGGATTTGGGAATTTAGGGATTTCAGAGTTCTGGGATTTGGGAATTCTGGGATTGGGAATTCCGGGCAGGGGAGCTCCGCCCACCTCTCCAGCTGGGTCCAGTGGCCGCAGTTCTCCAGGTGGCGCCGCTGCAGCTGCGGGACCTGCCCAGAATTCCCAAATTTCCCTCAGGATTCCCAGAATTCCCACATTTCCCTCAGGATTCCCAGAATTCCCACATTTCCCTCAGGATTCCCAGAATTCCCACATTTCCCTCATGGATCCCAGAATTCCCAAATTTCCCTCATGGATCCCAGAATTCCCAAATTTCCCTCAGGATTCCCAGAATTCCCAAATTTCCCTCATGGATCCCAGAATTCCCAAATTTCCCTCATGGATCCCAGAATTCCCAAATTTCCCTCATGGATCCCAGAATTCCCAAACTTCCCTCATGGATCCCAGAATTCCCACATTTCCCTCACCGTTCCCAGAATTCCCAAATTTCCCTCAGGATTCCCAGAATTCCCAAATTTCCCTCACTGATCCCAGAATTCCCACATTTCCCTCACCGTTCCCAGAATTCCCACATTTCCCTCACCGATCCCAGAATTCCCAAATTTCCCTCAGGATTCCCAGAATTCCCACATTTCCCTCAGGATTCCCAGAATTCCCACATTTCCCTCACGGTTCCCAGAATTCCCAAATTTCCCTCACGGTTCCCAGAATTCCCACATTTCCCTCATTTTCCCCCAAATTCCCAAATTTTCCCCAGTTTTCCCAAAATTCCCACATTTTCCCCATTTTTCCCCCCCAGAATTCTCAAATTTTCCCCAATTTTCCCCCAATTTTCCCAATTTTTCCCCATTTTCCCCCAAATCCCCAGATTTTCCTCATTTTTCCCAAAATTCCCCATTTCCCCCCATTTCCCCCCAAAATTCCCAATTTTTTCCCGTTTCCCCCCAAAATCCCAATTTTTTCTCATTTTTTCCCCAAAATACCCAAATTTCCCCCTTTTTCCCCAAATTTCCCAGACTTCCCCATTTCCCCCCCAGAATTCCCTAATTTCCCATTTCCCCCCCAGAATTCCCTAATTTCCCATCTTTCCCCAAAATTTCCCAAATTTTCCATTTTTTCCCCAAATTCCCAAATTTTCCCCATTTTTTCCCCAAAATTCCTAAATTTTCCCCACTGTTCCCCCAAATTCCCAAATTTTCCCTGTTTTTCCCCCAAAATTCCCAATTTCCCCCCATTTTTTCCCCAAATTCCCACATTTTCCCAATTTTCCCCAAAATTCCCATATTTTCCCCACATTTTCCCATTTTTCCCCCAACATTTCCCCCATTTTCCCCTGTATTTTCCCCATATTTCCCCACATTTTTCCTGTTATTTTTCCCCAATTTTTCGCCGAATTTCCCCCATTTTTCCCCGTATTTTCCCCACATTTTCCCATTTTTCCCCCCACATTTCCCCCAAATTTTCCCCATACTTCCCCCACATTTTTCCTGTTTTTTTTCCAAATTTCCCCTGGTTTTTCCCTGTATTTCCCCCACATTTTCCTGTTTTTTCCCCCACATTTCCCCCATTTTTTCCATATTTTCCCCGTATTTTTCCCACTTTTCCCCCCACATTTTTTCTGTTTTTTTCCCGAATTTTCCCCATTTTTTCCCTCCCACATTTCCCCCATTTTTTCCCCAATTTTCCCCATTTTCCCCCATTTTTTCCCGAATTTCCCCCAATTTTCCCCATTTTTCCCGAATTTCCTCTGAATTTCCCCAATTTTTCCCGAATTTTCCCCATTTTTTCCCCAATTTTCCCCATTTTTCCCCCATTCCTCCCCAACTTTCCCCAATTTTTCCTGAATTTTCCCCCTTTTTTCCCCCTGTTTTTCCCCATTTTTTCCCGGATTTCCCCCATTTTTCCCCATTTTTCCCGAATTTCCCCCATTTTTTCCCCCCGTTTTTCCCCATTTTCCCCATTTTCCCCATTTTTCCCGAATTTCCCCTATTTTTCCCACTTCCCCCAATTTTCCCCATTTCCCCCCAATTTTCCCGATTTTTCCCCGAATTTTCCCCATTTTTCCCCGAATTTTCCTCATTTTTTCCCTCCCACATTTCCCCCATTTTTTCCCGAATTTCCCCCAATTTTCCCCATTTTTCCCGAATTCCCCCCGAATTTCCCCATTTTTTCCTGAATTCCCCCCGTTTTTCCCGATTTTTCCCGAATTCCGCCCGTTTTCCCCCTTTTTTCCCCGTTTTCCCCCGTTTTTCCCGATTTTTCCCGAATTTCCCCCGTTTTTCCCGTTTTTTCCCGAATTCCCCCCGTTTTTCCCCATTTTTCCCGAATTCCCCCCGTTTTTCCCGTTTTTTCCCGAATTCCCCCCATTTTTCCCCGTTTTTCCCGTTTTTTCCCGAATTCCCCCGTTTTTCCCCATTTTTCCCGAATTCCCCCGTTTTTCCCGATTTTTCCCCATTTTCCCCGTTTTTCCCCCATTTTTCCCGAATTCCCCCGTTTTTCCCCATTTTTCCCGAATTCCGCCCGTTTTTCCCCCTTTTTTCCCCGTTTTCCCCCGTTTTTCCCGATTTTTCCCGAATTCCCCCCGTTTTTCCCCATTTTTCCCGAATTCCCCCGTTTTTCCCCATTTTTCCCGAATTCCCCCCGTTTTTCCCGATTTTTCCCCAATTCCCCCCGTTTTTCCCCGTTTCCCGCTGACCCAGGCCTCCATGCCGTGGCTGAGCCGGGGCTGCAGCACCGGATCCTTCCCGGCCGTCACCAGCAGCGCCGGCAGCCGGATCTGCCGGGACCCAGAGCGGATCCCCCGGGATCCCGGGAATCGGGGATCCCGGGGGGATTTGGGGGGTCCCGAGGGGATTTGGGGGATCCCGAGGGGATCCAGAGGGGATTTGGGGGATCCCGAGGGGATTTGGGGATCCCCGGGGGGGG